TACTTTTGTGTGAGAAAATGTTTTCCCAATTAGTGATCTTTCTGTTTGTTTTTAGTAATGTCTCTTTTGCTGTACAGAAGCTATTTAACTTGATATAGTTCCATCTATTTATCTTTGCCTTCACTATTGTCAACTGCCAAGTATTTTTAACCAGCTCTCTGCCACATGGGATAGCGCCTAAATACTTTAAAAAATCTTAACGGTAATTGAGTCACATGCAGTCATTTTATAAATAATGTTGCTGCATTTTGCAAGTTCAAAAATCAACACCGGATGTTGTTTTAAAGCACAGTTTCAATCAATATAAGTTCCTTTTTCGTTTGGGAATGTAGTAAATGTAAGTGAGCCTTGTGTAGCATGCATCTTTGTTTTGGCTTAAGTTCTAGGTAAATGTTGATATTAATTAATTATTTTGGTGTCTAAATGAATCTGCCTAAATTTGGTTTGACTAGCGTATTTTAGTTGGCCGAAAAACACTTCTCGTATTTTATTTTAGAGGCAGGTTAAGGGCAGGGAGGTGAAGTCCAAGTCAATTGCAGCAGTAGTCAGTGATTCCAATATTTAAATGTAAGTTCAAATTTATACTTCTCATGTATGCTCAGACTTCAGGAACTTAATTAAAGCTATGCTAAACAAGAGCATGACACACACAATAGTATGTACACGTTTGAATGCTAGTTTTTTGTTTCAGTAGAAGAAAGCATATCCAGGGATAGAATTTTCATGTTGAAAAGGCAGTACACCCTTTCCTGTGTCTAAGAACTTGGAATGTCAAGTTAATAAGTAGAAGTTGTGTTATGATCATGGAATTAGAAAAAAAAGAACTTTCAAGGTATTGAGTGATATTTCATCATTATGATAGAAATTGAAGAATTATCCCTTCTCTCTATAGACTACTTTTCAAGTCTTGGACACATTAATCAACTGATACCATATCCTTTTTCTTTAACAAAGCAAGTTGACCCTTTTTCTCTGTAGATCACTGTTAAAGAATGCAATTTACATCTGCCACATTTTTTTGATTAAGAGTTTGAAGATACATTAGACTCCATGATGGACTATGTAGGGATAGAGATAGCACTATTTTTCTGTTCTTACTGAAATTTTACAAAAATCCAGGAATATTGAAATCAATGTGAATTCTGTTAACTATAAGAATTTTGAATGGTTTAAGAAATTATTGAGAATAAATACTGCATAAATATTATAATAACATTACTATATTGAGTTTTTGCTGTGTGCCATATACTGTGCTAGATCCTTAATATTAATTCATTTAATCCTACTATGTTTTTGTTAACATCCTCTCCATTTGTATTACAGCTCATTTTATGTGTGTTTCTACTGGGCAGAGGAAAAAAGTAAAACTAAAATTAGTTACTTTAGTTACTCCCTCAGAGCTTTGGAAAAGTCTTAGTGAAGAGAGTTTTGCAATTGTAGGATAAAATTAGTTGTTTTCCATTAATTATTCATATTTTATTGTGTACTACTTGATTACATGTGTTTTAATCTTTCAGATTTCTGTTATGAATCTTTTTTTAGATTCTTGTCCAAATTTTAATAAGGTTAGTTATGAGCTTTGTTTTTATCTAATTAGGGTTAAGTTTTGTTGATACATGCAAGTGTATCAACAATTCATTTACTTGGTTTTAGATTACAAAGCCATTGTATTGTACACTTCTATCATAAGTGAGAAAAATTTTTTTAAACAAAAATCAATTTTTTGTTGCTTTAAGCACTAATTTGGTGAAAGTTAACAAGATTTCACATCCATTGCCACCAGATTTTCAGTGAACAGATTAATGATAAAATTTAGAGCTTTGACTGGATATAGCAATGGCTTTGAGGAATTCCTATCTTTTATATTATACTTGAATCCATGATATAATCATTCATATTATAATAGGCTTCTAATTTAACTTTTGTTTCTCCAGATGTAATGAAAGTCAACTTGATAGAAAAGGAAAATATGCCAACTTGTTCCATAGGCTCACTGACAAAATATTACACCATCATTAGATGAAATCTGTGAGGAATGTTGAAGTTGTGGGCAAGAAATATAAGAAAAACTCATGATAAAAAATCTTTTAATTCATAAATCACATTTTTAACAGCAAAGTCTCAGTATTTGGACTTTTTTTTTTTTTTAAATAAACAATCCTCATTTCTCTCCACCACTTATTTGCTCATTGTTGCAGTTAATTGCCTCCCAGCTGATTTCAGTGCCACTGTTGTGTAGCTTGGGTGTCAATTAAGTACTCAGAAAATTCGAGGCCTGACCTTTGTTAGCTTTCTTTTAGAAGCTAAAATATGAAGCTGCTGTAGAGTATGGAAAGTTTGATTTAATTCTATCTAACATAGTAACATAGAATTAAAGTACCCTGGAGACTAGCTACCAAAATTTAAATCTTGCCTGGGTGCTTTCATCTGTAAAATAGCAACAACAGTAACAATGCTTATCTTATGGTGCTCCTCTGAGGATGAGGGGAGTTAATCATAGAAATATAAAACAGAAACTTATACCTTATGATAATTGAACAAAGGTGTTCTTGATGCTCTTAATAGTTTAATCTTTTTTAAAAAATTGTACTGATTTGCTGACCATTTCCGTAACTATATAATTTTGGGAGAACAGCTTCACCTCTACTTGTGTGCACATGCTTCATTTACCTCCACCAGAGGTCTTAATGCCAGTGCCCTATCCTTTATCTTTTTCTTATTCACTGTTCTGTTCTTATCCCCCCCCCCACCCTCCAGATGCAGAACCTGTGGGCACAGAGGACCATCTAGTACTGAATTTAAAATCCTTAAGCCCTTGAAACATGTCCTTCACTGAGACTTTTCTCTCTTATTCTATATTTGTGTCTTTGTATGGAATCTTAGATTATTTATTTCTTCTAAATTTTTTCTTGAGGTTTTTTGGATCCTGTCTTATTCTTCAGTAATTTTTTTTCTGTTCTTTGCAATTTAATGTCATCTGTTAAGCTGAAGATGCCTCAAGCATCTTCCTGTTCACCATATAGCACACTACCAATGATATGTAGAAATCTTCCTCAAGGGAGAGCTCATTTGATTAACTAAAATACTTTGGTGTGGTTGTTCAGCCAGTCACTAATTTAACTTAGTAAGTTAGCTTTTAATTTTTAGCTTTATTCTCAAACTCATGAAAGACATTAGAAAAATCTTTACAAACACCTAACTAAATATCAGATATGTTTTCCTCATCTGCAAGTCATCTAAACAAGTTAAAGAACAGGGTAAATTTGAAATACTATAGTATTAACTCACTTATCCTAATTTCATCTATGTATTCACAGACAGAAGTTTTAATAATTTAAGAATGTTATCTGAAATTAACCTTTTAAGAATATTGGTAGAATTATTATCTTATTTTTTAAAAATAGTCTAAAATAGTCTCCTGTCCTGTGACACTGACACTGATTCAGGGTTCTCACTTACAGGTTCTTTTGAATATCTTGGGTCATAATTGTTTAGTCTGGGGAGAGATGTATACTTAAAGTAGCTATATCTCCTTTTAAAAATAAAAAGTATTACTTTTTTAGAGCACATTTAGGTCAATTACAAAATTGGGAGGAAGGTAAAGACTTCTCCCTAACATCCTGCCCCAGATCCTGCCCCAGTCTTTGCCTATCTCCCTGTCCCCCACTAACCCTATCATCAATATCCTTCATTGGAATATTATATGTTATATTTGATAACATATATTTGATAAACTGTTTTGACACAGATCATCACCGAAAGCCTACAGTTTACCTCAGGGTTCATCCTTGGTGCTGTGTGTTCTGTGGGTTTGGACAAATGTATAATAACATGTATCCACGAATATAACAGGTAGAGTAATTTCACTGCCCTAAGAATCCTCTTTGCCCTACTTATTCATCAATGCCTTTCTCCTATTAATCATTGATGTTTTTACTTTCCATAGTTTTGCTTTTTCCAGAATGTTATATACTTAGAATCTTGCAGTATATAGCCTTTTCAGAGTAGCCACTTTCACTTGATAACATGCATGTATTTTCTATAGCTTGATAGGTCTTTTCTTTTTTCCTAAAGAAGCACTGAATAATATTCTATGATCATGATGCATCGCAGTTTATTTGTTCATTTACCTATGAAAAGGATATTTTTGTTGCTTCCATAACTTAGCAGTTATGAATAAAGCTGTTGTAAATATCCATGTGCAGGTTTTTGTGTGGACTTTGAATTTTCAACGCCTTTGAATAGATATCAAGAGGTGTGATTGTCTCTGGTGAATCCGCTCATCCCCCACACCTCTGGCTTGTACCCCAGTTCTTGTATTCATAAATAAATCTTTTATATGGGAAAAAACATTTATACATACAGAACTGGGTTACAGGGCAGAGGTGCGGAGGAGTAAGAGGATTTACTGGAGACAAAGTGGGGAGCAGAACAGTAGATCTACTGAAATACACTGCTGAGGGGAGCAGCAGGAAGTCAAAAGAGGTCTGCTGTGCCATGTGGGTCACCTCCCTGGCCTGGGATTCAACTCATGCTGCAGTGGCTGCCATAGCTTCTTAGTGCTCTGCTTTAACCTATTGCGCCACCAAGGAGGGCCCAGTAAGTCTTTAAAAAAAAAAAAGTGTGATTGAAAAACTAATAGGTGTTAAATAGTTTAAAAGATCAACACTATAGTAAGCTAACGAACAGATCTCCATCTAAACTTATACCTCTAGTTGCTGTTACACTAATATTTTATTTTGGAGTGAAATACCCACTGGAAGAATCAGAAGTTTTTCAGACTCATCCATACCATAATTGAAAATTATTCTGCTAGCTATGTGTATGGGGGGTGGGGGAGAGGGGAGGGAAAGAAAGGGTTATTTAGGTTATTTAAAATATAAATGTTTTGATTTATTTGTGATACTTTTACTTTTTCTACTTTTTAGTTATTCCTTTAACTTGTGCTTGAGATGTGAGTGAGATAGGAAGGAAACAATTCACCTTGTATAGGTATGTCATATCTGTTATGAGCAGCTGCTGCTAGTTATGCTGAGGTAGCCATGTATTAACTTTCTACAGGTGGTGTAACAAATTACCACAAAATTTGAAATTTATGCTCTCACAGTTCTGGACGTGAAAAGTGTGAATTAGTATCATTGGGCTGAAGAGGAAGTGTTGGCAGGGCTTATTCCTGGTGGAGGCTCCAGGAGAGCCTAGCCTTTTCCAACTCCTGGTCACCTGCCAGTGTTGCTAGGTTATTGTCTGCATCACTCAAATTCCTGGCCGGGTGGTCACATACCTGCTCTGTTTCTGTGTCAAATCCCCTTCTTGATGTCTTTGTATAAAGCATGTATGATTGTTTAGGGTCTACAGCAGAATCTGCATCTCTCAAAATCCTTAATCATATCTGCAAAGTCTTTATTATATAAAGTAACAGTCCAAAGTTGCAGGGTTTATAATGTAAAGGAAAAGAGCTATTAACAACCACAGTGCTGCTGCCTCTACTTTTCCTTCTCTTGTTTTTATTCTTTTTCATCTTCCAAAAGAACAGAGTAGAAAGTAAATTAAATATGATCTACATTTATGATCAAGAGTTTAATAGATATGGTTTAGATCATTAAGTGAACTGTATTGTCCACAGTGTAGAGCATCAGATTGTGTTCACATTACATTAATTTTTTTGTTGTTGCTGAGTTAGTTGGTAGTAATGATACCTTTTATCAAAGTAATATTGTGACTTGGCATGAAATTTCTTTACAGTTGAAGCATCTTTGATAGTGATAGTGATACTGAGAAAATAATACCAAGTGGTATTTCCAAACTAATTTTCCTTTCACTAAGGTTTTCCCCCCACATTGTGTTTTGTTCCTATATAGGTCAGATTTGAATTTATAGATGGGTAATAGAACTGGCAGAGTTTTTATCTAAAGGTCCATTGTCAAGAGACCTTAGTGATTGGAGGATGTATCATACAATATTTGAACCTCAGTTTCCTTAATATCCAAAGTAAAGCAGTTGAGCTAAGTGATTTTTAACACCCCTTTAAATTCTTTAAGTATATCTGGTACGTGATGCAAGTATTTAAAACCAACAAAAAGACAGATTTTATATAACTTGAAAAAAGAAATCATATTGCCAAGATTGTTTTTGAAGTAATTTTTCTTACTTTTTGTTTTTCTGTAGATGGACCACACATCCCCAACCTACATGCTTGCTAATTTAACACACCTACACTCTGAACAACTTCTGCAGGGCTTAAATCTTCTTCGTCAACATCACGAACTCTGTGATATCATTCTTCGAGTAGGTGATGTTAAAATCCATGCTCACAAAGTGGTACTTGCCAGCATCAGTCCATATTTCAAAGCTATGTTCACTGGAAACCTTTCTGAAAAAGAGAACAGTGAGGTTGAGTTTCAGTGCATTGATGAAACTGCTCTCCAAGCAATTGTGGAGTATGCCTATACAGGAACTGTTTTTATTTCGCAAGACACAGTTGAATCTCTCCTCCCAGCAGCAAATCTACTCCAAATAAAACTTGTCCTGAAAGAATGTTGTGCATTTCTTGAAAGCCAGCTTGATCCTGGTAATTGTATTGGAATTTCTCGTTTTGCAGAGACTTATGGATGTCATGATCTTTATTTGGCAGCCACTAAATACATATGTCAGAATTTTGAAGCTGTTTGCCAGACTGAAGAGTTTTTTGAGCTTACACATGCTGATTTGGATGAAATTGTTTCCAATGACTGTTTGAATGTAGCTACTGAAGAGGCAGTTTTTTATGCACTTGAGTCTTGGATCAAGTATGATGTACAAGAGCGCCAGAAATACTTAGCACAGCTACTTAACAGTGTGCGATTACCATTGCTGAGTGTTAAGTTTCTCACTAGACTTTATGAAGCAAATCATCTTATTCGTGATGATCGCACTTGTAAACAGCTTTTGAATGAAGCCCTAAAGTATCATTTTATGCCTGAACATAGACTCTCTCATCAGACGGTCTTGATGACACGACCTCGTTGTGCTCCTAAAGTACTGTGTGCTGTAGGAGGAAAATCTGGATTGTTTGCCTGTTTGGATAGGTAAATAGAAGACTATCTTAAAGGATTGATGCTAATAGAGTTTTTATACTTTTTAAGTGTGCTGATTTTCTGTTGTTTTAAAAGATAGCTCTCTTTATTTTCCTAATTTTTTTTTGGTTTTTTCCTTTTCTTAAAATATTTATTCTGGTTGTTTCAATCATATCACCCATTCGCTATAACACTGTCCGTTATTAACATGACTTCTTCCTCCCAGTGCACAAACTTTATCCATCCTGGTTACTCACTAACCCATTTTATGTCTTTTTATTATTATCTTTTTAAAGATTTATTTATGTGTAGAGAGCTGGGGTACAGGCCAGAGTTGCAGAGGCTGTGAGAGAATTCACCAGAGACAGTGGGGAGCAGAACAGGTGGACTGATGAAGTACACTGCTGAGGGGAGCAGCGGGTGGGTCAGAAGAGGTCTGCTGTGCCATGTGGATCACCTCCGGGGTATGGATCAATCTCATGCTGAAGTGGCGTTAGCTTCTTAGTGCTGTGCTTTAACCAGCTGTGCCACCAGGGAGGGCCTTTATGTCTTTTTAAATTTGTGAAACCATTTACGTTTCTGGGTCAGACCATATCAGGTGTACTTATTATTGCTAGCTATATCAGAAGATGTTTAAAAGGAGAGTTAACACTATCATGAGGGCAGACTAGGCACAAAATGTGTTGGAATGAATGTAATTAGAAGAACCATATCAAAATAATAAAATGTTTGATACTGGTACACATTTTAAGCTTTATGTGCAATTTATTTTCTTCAGTGTAAATATTTTTTTAATAAGAACAGTTATAAAATGTTTTATTTGCTAATAACTTAGAGGTGTTGTGAAACTTTCTGTGTGAAGCCAAGTGTTACTATTCAAATTTGGCATTGCACTGTAAAAATAGATATAGACAGTACATAAAAGGATGATGCCGTAAATAGCCTAGTTCCAATAACACTTTTTTACAAAATTGGCAGATGAGATTAATTTTGACCAGAGTTACAGTTTGCCAAACCATGACTTAGAATTTTATGATATTAACTGAAGTACACCGAAAATACAGCTGGATATTACAGATTCAATCATTTTGGTTTTCCTTTGGCTTGAACTGGTTCATGAAAGTATTTAGATTTGGTATATTTCTTTGATGTTGTGGAATTCTGGCATTTCTAAAGATTTGGTAAATTAGGCAAATGTCTTGACAAAAAATTCTAAGTATGTGTGTCTATTATTAAAATTCTCAAGCAGTTGCCGCTTGGTCTCTCTATTAAAATTATCAAATTACTGAAGAATAATAAGAGCTGTTTATATCTTTAGACCCAGTAAACTTTTAAAGAAAAAATTTTCCCTCCATAAGAAAATATTTTTACATGTCACCTGCACAAAGTTGTTTCTTACAGTACTTCTTAAAACTTTGGGAAAAACTGGAATGATTATTCAATTCTACAAAAAATATTAAACACCTGTGCATCAAATATACCAGATTAGATCATGACTCTTCAGCAAGTTTATATTCTCATTGGAATAAATTTATGTTTTTAAAACACTATAGCAAAGCTGATAATAAATAGGTAATCAGTAAACTTTAATCATGCTAGATAGAAAATATATTTATGCATTTTCATTATTGTGTTTGGGGAAATTAGCTATGTTTCCCCCAACCTTTTTTTGTAATAAAATATATCCATGCAAGTGACAATAATATATATTATACATACAGGCTATGAAAAATGAATACTTATCATTCAGCTTAAGAAATAAGCTTTTAGTATCTTTAAGCCCTTTTGCCCCTTCTTGATGCCATTTCTTTTAAGAAACCATTACCCTATCATTTATGTATTTTCCTGTGCTTTTCATTGTAATTTCATAACATATATGTGTTCCAAAGTAGATTTACATATTTCTATATAAATGTAGTTTTGTTTTCTTACTGAACAGGAAGTTGCGAAATTCATCTATGAGACTGCATAAGGAAGTCATTTATTTGCTTTCATTGGTATTTGGTATTATAGTATAAGAACATGATACAGTATTTTCTTTCTGTATGAACATTTTAATTGTAACCATTAATTGAAGTTTTATACATAATGTACATATCTGCAGTGTACAGGTTAGGAATTACACAAAATGAGCATTACAAATCAGTTCAAGAACAGAATCTGACCAACATCTAGAAACCACATATTAGTCCTTCCCTGTTCTCTCCAAAGGTAACCATTATCTTCTTTGCTAATCCAGAAAGTGGAAATGTTTTTGAATTGATATAAATAAAACTATACAGAATATACTTTATATTTGAATTGTTTCCAGTTTTAACTATCACAGATAATGCTTCTGGGAACATTCTGTGCATACAAAATACATATGCTCTTCTCTTGTGTACATTCTCTAGGAATTGAATTACTTGGCTTTAGGGTCTTTATACTGCATCTTATTTATCCATTCTCTTATCTTCCCATTTGATGATTGCATTATGTTGCTGTGAACATTTCTGTCTGTGTATCCTGGTGCAAAACTTAACTGTAAAGGCCTGTGATAGAGTAAATGCATAGGAAACATATTACTGAGTTAGACATATGTATATCTATTTTACCAGATAAAGAAATTGTTTCCCAGAATAGTTTTTATTAGTTGCACTCCTACCAAGAGATAATGCATTCCTTGTACCCAGGTTCTTGCCAACAGTTGTTATTGATTGATTTTTAATTTTTGCCAGTCTGGAAAGTATGTCATAGATTTGTTGAGGTTTTAGTTTGTATGTCCCTGATACTAATGAGATCAAATATTTTCATTTGTTTATGGGTCATTTGATTTTTTTTTAATTAACTTTTCTGCTTTTTTCTTTAGTGTGGAGATGTACTTCCCTCAGAATGACTCTTGGATTGGTTTGGCACCCCTAAACATTCCTCGCTATGAGTTTGGAATAGGTGTTTTAGACCAAAAAGTCTATGTTGTAGGTGGTATTGAAAATAATGTGCGTCCTGGTGTTACTGTGAGAAAACATGAAAATTCAGTAGAATGCTGGAATCCTGATACAAATACCTGGACTTCCCTTGAAAGAATGAATGAAATTCGAAGTACCTTTGGAGTAGTAGTACTTGCAGGAGAACTTTATGCTTTAGGTGGATATGATGGACAATCCTATTTACAATCTGTAGAGAAGTACATTCCTAAAATAAGAAAATGGCAACCTGTGGCGCCAATGACTACGAAAAGAAGTTGCTTTGCTGCAGCTGTTTTAGATGGAATGATATATGCCATTGGTGGGTATGGCCCTGCCCACATGAACAGGTATGTTTGTTTTTTTTTAAAAGTCTCATTGATAATTACTGGATTTTAAACTGTGTGTGTGAATAAACCTCCCCTTTTAATTCTAAAAGTAGTAACGATAGGAATTTAGGAAACTTGATGTGCTTCACAATTGTAGTTATTTTATATAGGGATATAATACAACCAAAAAATCAGTTCCTCCTTATTAAATTTTGCATTCATCCATTTACTATAAATGGACTAGATTATATTCAGAAATCTGAAAAATAAGATGAAGCTAGGCAACTTTAGAATCCAGGTGGTCTCAGTCTCTTGTCTGTCTATACACACACACAGACTGTATAGATAGTCTGTTTTATATATCTATAGAGATATATAGATATCTACATACACACAGATATAAAAGTGTGTGAAGATAGTATGTTATTGGATTGCTTACTAGAATAAAGTGAAAATGTAATTAATACACACACACACATACTCATACAGTATTATTGCCCATCATTAACTTAAAGCCTTATTGAGTTTCTTGATTTTTAATCCATAATCATACATATTTTATTATGTATCCGAGTTAGGTTGGAGTCTGAGGTTTCTGTATTTTTTTATTCTTTGAGTAAACGAAAAATATATGAGAAGACAAAAGTGTAAAGTGACTGTTTTATGGAAAATTTATCTTAACCTTTACTGTAGAGTGATGGTCCAAAGATTTTTGTTTCTGATAATTAGAATGGTGTGTATTTTATTAATGTGAGCATTTTAATCAAAGTATATTACAGCTTTTTAACTCATATGCCAAAGCAATAGTATAGTAGCATTTTAGCTACAAATTTTTATTTCTGTGTAAGCTAAAATATTCACCCTCTTTATTGTTCCCTTAGTTGAAAATAAGGTATTTGGGGCCCACATAAGCATTTCTATTGTTTGAAAAACTCCTTCCAGAAATGCATGAAATACAATGTTAAGTATTTTCATTTTGAGAGAATACTCTTGAAGTACTCAATAGTATATCTGTAATTTATCAACTTCTCATCCAGTGAGTCTGCTCTAATAGCTTTTATCCTGGTGCCCTTTCAGCAACAGTTGTAGTTTAATTCTTAATCTAGTTTCTTTATTCTGAATTTATGAATGATGTCATTGACTCTGAAATGTTTTAGACATTCGAGCTATTAGGTCAAGAACAAGCTCAACAAGCTTGCCTTTGTGTCCCTTCACAGGACAGGTCTTCTGGAAGTTTTTTAGGAGTTCTAATTTAATTTGTACCTCCATAATACAACTAGGAATTAAGAAGGGTCTCTGGAATGGAATCCTTGAATTCTCCTAAATCACTCAAGTCATTATGGTTAGCCAGTTTGTGTTAGGAAATTTGCAGTGTTTTTAGTAAATCACCATGAATTCTGTAAGAAAAAAAGTTCCTCCTCTTACTTTCTTTTGTCTGTTTTCTTTTAGTTATATAAAGGTCCTCACTGTCATTAGAAAGGATCTATATTCTACTTGTGAGAGCCAAAGTACTTTCACATGCATACTCATTTTAACTTTTTCTTCTATGAGTTCTTTGAAGTTGTCTTATCCCTATTTTTGCAGGTGAGAGGAAGAAACTTATCCAACATTATAAAAGTTCATAGTGTTAGAGCTAGAATTTATTCAACTCTAGGTATGCAATATTATACTTGAACTAGGTTTTCTGACTTCATGTTCAATTCCATTAGTATATCTTGGTGCTTGTACATTATAATGAAATAACATATGGCTACTGTACTGAGTATACAAGATAAGCTTATACCCTTATTTTGTCAGCAAAGCCAAACATTTGTTTTATATCTATTTATTTGAACTTCTAAAACTATGTAGGTTTTAAGTTTGCTTTAGAATGAAGAGTGACACAAAGGATCTATGAATTAATTCTGTCTTTTATGAATATTTGCAGTGTGGAGCGTTATGATCCAAGTAAGGATTCCTGGGAGATAGTCGCATCTATGGCAGATAAAAGGATTCACTTTGGTGTGGGTGTCATGCTAGGCTTTATTTTTGTGGTGGGTGGACATAATGGAGTCTCGCATTTGTCAAGCATTGAGAGATATGATCCTCATCAGAACCAGTGGACTGTTTGTAGACCAATGAAAGAACCCAGAACAGGTAATAATTTACTGATTCTAAACATGTCAAGCAGTATTTATAACAGTGAAACTCGTTGGAACTATTCCTTGGGATATAATAATAAGGATTTTCCTTGTCTAGGAAAACAAAATGTTTTGTGGGGTGAACTTGAAAGATAACTTGTTTAGACAAAACTAAATAGATTTCTTTATTGCCATCTTAATATGCCAGTGTGTATATTTATCATTTCATAAGCTTGGAGAGAACATTTTGAGAAATGGTGATAATAGAGTGTATCTTATAGGAGCTCTTCTACATATAACAAAAAATACTATTTTGTTGTTATACATACACAGACAATATTTGGATAGTTTTATTTTTTTCTCTAACCCATTGTGCCACCATGGAGGGCCTATTCTTTTATGTTTTATTATGTAGGCAGTCTGCAGACTAACTTTCAGGTGTTCTCTGTTCAGGGGGTATAGTTGAGCAAAAAAGAATTGGACTTAGAGTTCCTAAAAAAAAACAAATATGTCTTAGAGGGACATATTTTTTGAACCCAAAACTCAAATCACATTATTTTAAAGGGAAGATTTTAAGTTACTGATGGAAATTATACTCTCTGGTATTTCCTGTATTTGTGATTTTAAAAAGTCCTGAAACATAAATTTGCAAAATAAACTATAAGGACAGAACGTAATGAATTAATTGTTTATTATAGTTAATTTCTTAAGTTATTATCATTGAGAGAAAAAAACATAAAACAATGAGAGGTAAAAAAAAATGGGTAGCCTTGTTATTTTTAGAACTCTATATAATAATATATAGAGTAGAATTTTTAGTCATAGATTATACAATTCAGTATATTTTTTTTTTTAAAGATTTATTTATTCATACAGAACTGGGGTACAGGTCAGAGGCTCAGGGGCGGCGAGAGGCTTCACCAGAGACAGAGCGGGGAGCAGAACAGGCAGATGGACGAAGTACACTGCTGAGGGGAGCAGCGGGCGGGTCAGGAGGGGTCTGCCACGCCATGTGGTCACCTCCGGGGCAGGTGGGAATCGAACTCATGCGGAAGAGGCTTTAGCTTCTCAGTGCTGTGCTTTAACCCGCTGCGCCACCAGGGAGGGCCCAATTCAGTATATTTTTAAATATTTTGATATGTTAGAAAGCTTGATAAAAATGATTTAAAAATATATATGTAAATAAAATTCAGATCAAAACAAATGGAAAAATATATATTACATTTTTAGTATTTTCCTGTGGTGAAGGAGATGCAGAATCATATTTAGGAAGAGAGGTGAAGGAAAATGTTGCATTTAGGTTAAGGTTCTCCTGCCCCTCCCAACCCTCCCCCCCAAGCACTTATTACTAGATACAAATTCATTTGCTTTTAATGAGATATTTGCTTCATGAGTAACATGTTTTTCTCTCTTTTTACTCATATTTTCTAGGAGTTGGTGCTGCAGTGATAGATAACTACCTTTACGTAGTTGGTGGTCACTCTGGGTCGTCCTATCTGAATACCGTGCAGAAATATGACCCTATCTCAGACACATGGCTGGATTCAGCTGGCATGATATACTGTCGCTGCAATTTCGGATTAACTGCACTTTGACAACAAGTATGAACTTGTGGAAATAGTGTGGTGATGAACCTTGTGCCGCATGAAAGGATGCCGAATTTTCTGAAACTCAAAAGCTGCATTGCTTTCTTTTTAACTTGAAATGGCATGAAGACTCAAATGTTTTGTTGAGCACTTTGAATTGACAAGTAGCTCTGGTTGCTCTTGAATACATAGTGAATCAATAATCAAACAAAAAAGGGGGGGGGGTGAAGATCTTGCCAATTGAATTGTGCACTTTTTTTTTGTAGTACTGAGAATAGTTTTATGTTCACATGTATACATGTGGAGAACACCTTGCTGCTTTTTTTGTTTGTTTAGTTTCAACTCTGTCCCTCTTCCTTGATATGCATCACAATTTACTAGGATGAAAGATGCTTTTTGCTGAGTGTATTGAATGACTGGACAGAGTGGTAATAGTGTCTGTTGCTATAAACTCACATGCTTCACATTTTAAACAAATAAAGGGCTGCTTTTTTTTCCCCCTGGTACTTCATAACGGTTGTAAATTACATGCCATACTGGGTCCTTTGGATATTCTTCCTGCTAAATAGCTTTTGGCCTGGGGATATAGTAAGTTTGCAGGACAAATAGACTTACTGGCATAATATTTGATGACTTATTTATTTTAAGGATAAAGTCAAATAGTTATTGTTTATGCCTTTGTTGTATGGGTAGATTAATGCTGGATGAATTTAGTTACCCATCATTGCTATGCTAAGCATGGATAAACAGACACATCAGTTTTGGTTGTTAATTTTTTTTTTCTGTCAATCTATAAGATTCCTGGTATTGATGTAAATATTTGACAAATGTTGATCATCCTTAGTGCATACTGATTTTTAAAAGTATGTCCTTATAATAATTTTAGTTCTTTGCTTTTTCAAAGTGTTCAGATATAAAAATGGTGCTAACTGTAGGATTTCTAACGAGGCTATAATGATGTTCTTTTGGATGTTCAGTATGAGAAATGCATGATATGTCTTGGCAGTATTTTTTATTTAAACTGGCTTGATTCATTTGTGTTCATTTAAAATGTTAGTGATTTTAAATAAATAAATAGAATGTTAGTGCTTATATTAATGTTAACATTCAAAAATCACCTACACGGCTTATTTTATGCTTTTTGTGGTTCCTGAATAGTGATACAACCTTTTATCTTCTTTTGTCTTGTGCTAGATATTAATTGTCCTTCTTAATATAGGCGTATATGCATTAAATGTAAAGCATTAAGCAGTCATGCATTACTTTATACATTTCTTAGGTAACACTATTTTAGGTATTGAGGAAACTGGAACTCAATGTTTATGTGAGTAATGGTTCTAAATTCAGTTCTACTTTGACTAATGACATGATCTTTTAAAGCAAAATTGTTAACTTTAGCCAAGTACAGCTTATTTAGAAGTGGTTAACTCACTTTGTTTTAGCCTGCTCTACTAAGTTTCTGTGGGTTCTTGAACACATAACCATACCTGCATTTTATTAGGATGGTACTTGTCTTTTTGGTACTGTAGTCATTTTGTCTTCTTTTGATTTATTTTTACCTGTTCACTATCTCATTATAGTCTCCGCAAAACCAGCATATACTTGTTTCCTAAGAAAACATTCATACTGCATTCGTAAGTGCCATAATGTTTTAAACTATTGTTAAGAAGCCATTTGTAATTATAAGACATAGGTTTATTTGTTTGCATATGTTATTTCTTGGAAACTTTAGAGCCGGGCAATTTGAAGTTTTCCTTGTTCTTCCATAAACTGCCAGTTGTAGACTTAAATATATACTAAAAAACAGTGTAAAATCATCTTTAATCATATAAGTAATATCATGCTTTATGAATATTTGCACAGATTATAAAACCTTGCAAGTGATTTTAGTCTCTAAGAACTCAACAGGAGCTACTGATAAAATTAATAGACTGAATATTTTCTATGTTGCTTGTTTGAATAACATGATATATAGCAATAACTTTTTAATTAATTTAAATATATCCATTGAATAGAAACAAGGTGCACTATTATGATTGGCCTAGACTTTATTTTTAAAAAAGCAATTTAAAATAAATTCTGTAACAGTTCATTTTAAATTGTAGCTCAATTTCTGTTTATATTAATTAGATTGTTAAATACTTCCTAAATCCCCAGAATGTAAGTGAATGTGAAAGGCTTAGAGAATTAGTTTAACTGTAAACAGATATACATTTTATTTTGCAGTGTTAATTACTCATTTGTCATCTTGACCATCAAATCAGTATAAAATGTAAAATTAACACATTAGGTCAAAGGCATATGTTTATCATTGGTTTGAAAAAAAAAATCTAAATTTCTTATTTGTGAAAGCTAAATGTAAACTATCTTGGATAATAGTAGGTGCCTCTACCAGGAACAAATTATGAAAACCCTTTAGAAGAAAAGGCAAAAGCCCCAATTTAGAAATACTTATTTTAAGTTTACTGAACATACTATACAATTAATAACTACCAGAGGTACTAATGTGACCTGACAACTAATAGCTCTATAATAGAGCCTTCTTGTAAAGATTTGTGAGAAATTTCATCATGAATGTTCTGCTGACAGATTATAAATGTTGTCAACATTTTTATGATCAGAAAGATCAGAATATTAGGTTATAAAATGACCAGGACTAAAGATATTAGAAATAATTTTATATACAAAAAGAAGAAAACTATTCAATATTGCCCCAAATATATTTTGCAAAATAGTGGGGTAGGGGGAGTGGATTTAGAAATTAATCATTTGGGAGATGATTGGTTTCTATAATTATGTTTAAGGGAATTAATCAATTAGGAATGTTTGGCTACTTAGTATTTGTTGAATATAAAAGTAGGACTTTAGTGGTTTTTACTGGAGCTCAAAGGATATTGCATAAAAGTTCCTTATGTTACTAATACTGTTTAAATATGAATGAATATTAAATTATAGGAAGTGTGTCAAGTGATAGGAAAATGGCATTAGGATTTGAAAGATTAAAAATTTTGATAGCTTGACAAATGTGGAGGATCTACTGTACGTATGATATGCTAAATGCTGTGGGGACTAGAAATATAAATAAGATAGAATCTGTCACTCAAAGAGTGAAATATAGTGAGAGAAACCTGTGCCCAGATAATTATTATGGTGAAGTATAAAACTAATTTCTTATCTGCAATACTTTAAGAAATGATTAGAGACCCAGTTTATGTATAAACTTTTCTGTCCTTTAATGTTCCGTTAGGTTTTATTAATATAAAAGTAAGAATTATTAAAAACCTAATGTTTATAGATCTCCAAACTTCCTGGAATTGGATATTTTTTTCTAGTGGAAAACAGCATTATAGAAACTTTTAAAAAATATTGACTATATTTGCCAAGACTGGCTAGCATTGAAGGAAATACATGTATATATAATGCTATGTTTGTTTGCAGTTTTCGTGTTGGATTTCTGGTTTTGTCACCTAAGTGCTCATTTTCAGGAAAATCAGATTCTATAATAAATAATACAGCTTAAATTCAATAAACTTGTAATAACCTCTATAACCTCTGTAGTCAAAGTTAAGAAATTATAAGATGTCACATGTCAAGTTAACATCCAGTTCTACCTTTCTTTTTTTTGTAAAATAGCACTTTAATTAGATGTGATTTAATTAGATATGATTATTCTGTGGCTGGATATATATATAATGGATTTTCATTTACAATATATTGATTCAGTGTTGATACACATAAAGAGTGAGGAATACAGGTTTTAAATACTACAGGTTTACAAGTTGTCTTACTGGTGTGAATATGGGGTCAAATAAAAATCCAGTTTACATCTCAACAGAGAGAAAAGCTGTTACCCATATGTCTTTTATATTATAAGTAGAGATAATTTATTGTTAATTTTGTCAAGTTATGTGTACGTCACATTTATTTTAAAATACTAAGCAAAAAGTTCCAAGTTTGCCTTAAAATACAAGTGAAATTAAAGAACTGGATGATAATGCCTATATTTTTGCCTTATGAATTGTGCTGTATCATAAACCAGAGATGGTTTTGACTTTTAACAGGATTCTGAAATTTTGTAGATGTAGAGTACTCTCTTTGTACTCTCTTGCAAAGAATGTGATCTAGTTATGGATTGTGTTAATGTTTAACTGTTTTTTGTATATGTATTTTACCTCTGAGTATATCTTTAGCATCAGGGTTTTATTTTTGTTTACATAGTAAAGTGGCATTTAACTTGATGAAGGTTGTATTGTCTTTTATTTTAGAAGTTCTTCATGTGTACTATTGTAATAATGCTCTGTAATGACTGGTTAAATTTCATTTAATGTGAAGTATTTAAAATAAATTAAAATCCGTGATTTGTATGTTTTCATTATTTTTTTTAAAAGACTTTATGCATACAGAACTGGGGAATAGGGCAGAGGTGCAGAGGTGGTGACAGGATTCACCAAAGACAAAGTGGGGAACAGAACAGGCAGATTGATGAAGTACACTGCTGAAGGGAGCAGAAGGCCACAGGAGAGGTCTGCCATGCCATGTGGGTCACTGCCCTGGCTGGGGATTGAACTTATGCTGAAGTGGCAGCAGCTAGCTTATAGTGCTGTGCTTTAACCTGTTGTATCACCGGGGAGGGCCCTATATTTTCATTATTGTGAACTTTGTCATGCTCACCACTTCAGTTCTTTTTAGTCTAAAGGCAGTGGTCACAAAAGTGGTCACCACTTCAGTTCTTTTTAGTCTAAGGCAGTGGTCACAAAAGTTGAGATGGGTGTGGGTCAGCTAGTGCTTTATATCCTTATTACCAGCATATAGTCTAAATTCTATCATTTACTCAGATGTTTGCTAAAGAAATACTCATTTAGTAAAGTTAAGTACAAAAAGAGTTCACTCAGTCAATTCAATATAGTCCAATCTTTTTGTTCTTTTAGATTTTCTTACCAGCTTTATAAGAAAGGTTTACCTGAAGGAGGCAATGCAACATTCTTTAGGATTTTGTTACTTTCATGTTGATAAAAGCCTATTCTTCATTATGTCCCTGACATTTTAATTAGCAAAACATGGAATCTTACCATGTTATGGATAATAGAAGTACTTGTAGATTTCTGGATTATGGGCTTCCTGGTTAGAATGCCAGCTACCCCTAAATAGCATTTTTGATGAAGGATTGATGTAGAAACTTAGCAACTGAAACATTTAAAATAATGTCATGACAAAATATTAATTTATAATGTAATTTACAAAATATAAATATTAATTTATTATCTAACATTAATGTGTTAGAGTTAAGACTTCTTGATTAAGTGGATGCTGTTAAGTTTTTTGACTCTAAAGCCTGTACAGATAGCTTTTGTGTTACCCAGAATTCACTGCAGTTTTTGAGAACTTGGCAAGTGTAGGGCATGATGCAATACCCTGTACTACCTTCCCTCCCCATTTCCTCTTTCCTTCCCTCATCCTCTCTGGTAACCAGTGTAGTTTTTCAGAGTCTATGAATAATTTCTGTTATGTTTTTAACCAGTTTTCTTTGGTTATTTATACTTTGGAAATGAGTGAAACCATTCAGTATTGGTGAAAGTATGTATTCTATTAACTTGGTCAGGCTTACTGATCCCAAATTAAGCTTAGACTGCTAAGGTAAAGGCAGCCCTAGCCAGCCAGTTATTTTAATCAAACCTTAATCTTGTTGCTTCTTGACCTGAACACAAGTCAACTTCACTGTATTTTGCCCTTCTTTCATTCTGTCCTACAATTCCCAGGTACTGGATGTGTGGGGTTATTTATCCCTCCTCTTACAAACTTGCCCACCCATCTTCTTTCCATTCTTAAATCAAGCTATGTTCAGTGCATTTTAATATATTTTATGCAATACTATTAGATTAACAAGGATGTAGAAAATCTATTTGATTGTATCTGTCTTGGAACAATTCATGCCATTAAAATCTTACTTCCCTTCACTCATAGCAGGAGTATAATGGACCAGGTGAGAAAATAACAAAAATAATGAACAACCAGAGACCAGAGACATTCTGTGGGGGTGGAGTGGGGAATGGGATCAAAAACGGGGGCACGGGACTAT